AACATGGCGGATTTTGGTGGTCAAAGTCAGCGGAGAGACGCGGGCTCATGAAATAAAATTTTTGTCGCCCACCCTGATTTGACCACCACGATTGCGAGTATAGAAAATATCAAAACTATTTATTTTCCTAACATAAACACTTTTTTAAAACTTTATTTATTAAACTGCCAACTTTTGTGGTTTGCGGATGCTGAAATAGCGACAGAAAAGGGAACATTTCTTGACTCCGGTAAGTAGCACAGTATTAGTTTTACTATTTTGTTTTTAACACGATACTTGAAGAGTGTTTCTAATACTAAGTTTATAGAGCTCTTATAGAGCTCTTATAGAGCTCAATGAGTGCAAACAATGACCATTAAGTCGAGTACGTATATTTCCGATCGTATTGAAGTCACATTTTAACAGATGGAAAAATAATGCTACAAGTTAATGTTTCCTTGACACTTGTAAGAGTTTCATTAAAGAATCCTTTTACGTGGAGAACTTTGTCTTTACATGATCGCCGATATTGCTTTTGCTCAAAAGTCTTGGTAGTGTTTATGCCGATGAACTAAAATGGCGGGATAGCTGGTCATTTATCGTCACAAAACGTGGCCAGAAATACTCAGAGAAACATCATCACGCAGCAGACATATCGAACTGGGGTGAGCCTGTCACTGCTCGTGTACAGTTCCTCTTGTTCCTGCTAAACAATCTCATTGTGCTTGGGATGACAGTGAAGAATTAAAGCGAAGAAGAATGTTTTGTGATAAGTTTGAAGGCTATGGAAGTGTATGCAGTTGTAAGTATCTTTTCGTTACATCCATGTAGGATTAGATTTCTTATTTAATTGAACGTACAGCGATGTGTTCAGTAATTTTGCCATTCACATTGTGCATTAAAACTTCGAGAAAATATTCTGAGAATACTCCATGGAAAAATTGTAGAAATAAGGATATCACTGTTATTGCAGCTAATGTTAGAACGATATGAAGAACTGACAGAATATGTTCTTAAATGTTGTAGGTAATAATCCTGCTCCAATTGAAATTAAAACAACACCGTTGAAGTTAGAAAAGTTCAAGACATTCCTGTTGCTGTGATTGCTAGTAACAGGCCACATTATCTTTATCGTGGCTTACGGTCAATGTTGTCAGCTCATGGAGCAAAGAAGGAGTTATTTACTGTATTTATTGATGGATTCTTTGAAGAACCAGCTGCTGTGGCAAGGCTATATGATGTAAAAGTCGTACAGCATATTCCTATTAGCAGTAAGAACGCTAGAATATCACAGGTTGGTAAGGCTTTTTCTTTGAGAGTGTTTACACAATGTAATCAAAATTTTTTCGTTCCTTTTATTACTTTTTAAATGCATTTTCTCTTCCTCCCAGCATTACAAGCGAACATTGACAGAGACGTTTAATGCTTATCATAATGCTCAGTATATGATTATTTTGCAAGAAGATTTAGACGTATCTGTGGACATATTTAGTTATTTTAATCAATTTTTGCCTTTAATGGATACAGATGAAAGTCTGTACTGTATATTGGCGTGGAATGATCAGGTTTGTTATAAACAAAAGCTAACAACATTCTTTTCATCTTTTTAGTCTTTTACTCTATTGTTGGCTTGTGTTTGCTACACAACAAAATTTTAATTCGTTTTCAACTTTATTAACTTGGTTTTGAACGTCTCTGATTCTTTTTGCTTTTTTTGTTGAGTCCAGTTTATCTCTGACGAGAGTGCAGAATGTAAATTAAATAAATCTCAAATATTTTTCACATTATAATGGAAAATGGAAATCTCCGTACAAGAATCTGTTATCTTATTGTAGTTTTCATTGGTTACATTATGTTTGTCTTTATCGAGCTTCCTTCCTTGCACATCACGAAGTGAAATTTAGGAAATTTACCTTAGAAATGGTACATCCATTGAAAAACTAATTTATGTGATTAATGATTTAATTGCAAAAACAAGTATTTCTATTTTTAGGGTTATGATCACACATGTAATGATCCTGCAATGTTATATCGTGTAGAAACAATGCCTGGTTTAGGCTGGTGAGAATTTTATTACTACAAATGATTTTGTTTACGCTATGACATCACGCAACAGTGACGTCATGCTACAATGACATCACACTACAAGCACATCACGCTGCAATGACATCACGCTACAATGACCTCACGCTGCAATGACATCACGCCACAATGACATCACGCAGCACTATAAATGTATAGATAGTATAAACTTCATTCTATCTATTATTTCTCTTTGCATTAACAGGTTGCTCAAACGACGACTTTATAAAGAAGAACTTGAGCCAAAATGGCCAACCCCTGATCCCTTTTGGGATTGGGATATGTGGATGAGGATGGACAGCAACAAAAAGGGACGTGAATGTATCATTCCGGATATCTCAAGAACCTAGCATTTTGGCGCCAAAGGCCTGAATATGAATGTATTTTTTCAAGAATCCTATTTCAAAAAACATACGTTGAATACTGAACCTAACGTTAAGTTTAATGAATGTTTTATGCAGTGCGGTGTTTTGAAATTAAATGAGATATGATCTTCGCACTTAGCTGGACAATTTAAGCAATCGTCTCAGGACCTGAAAAAATCAGGTGAGTCACCTGATTTTTTCTCATTTAATTTTAAAGTTAAGTTTAATGTTGGATTGTTGAAAAAAGAAAATTATGAGAAGGAGATTGAACGGCTTGTAGGGTATGTCTTGCAGGATTTTATAAAATATTGACAACAATATTTTTCTTTTCACAGGACAATGAAGGAGATTTCTACTTAGTGATTCAGTGATCTAATTATCATCATAGTGCGTATATTTATGTCATTTGATTGTTAGAGATGTCTATCTACTGTTTTTTACAGGTTGGCAGAGCCGTTGGATCACAGTAAAAATCCTTGCAAGAACGAGAAAGACTTTGTTCATGAAACATCTGATAAAACATATATATTTTATATTGAAATGAAACATGCTAACGACTGGACAACATGGAATAATATAGCGAGATGTTTACGAATCTGGGACTTAGATGCTCGAGGATTTCATAACAGCATGTGGAGATTATGGTTAAAGGGTAATCACGTGTTAATTGTTGGATCACCGGCTTCACCTTACGCCAAACATAAACCAATTAACGTAAAACCAATTTTCATTCCTAAAAAATCGGAGACTGCGTGATCATCTTTGATTAGAGATATCATTCGTTTATCATGCGGGATTTAAGCTAAATGAATGGGGAAATCTTGAAGTTTAAAAAACTTTAATGTAAATGTGATTGGATAAATTTTCATCATGGTTTGATCAAGGAAATGAACTCGTTGAACAAGGAATATAAGAGGAAAAAGATAACTTTCAATTTGTTCAATTTTACTGTTAATAATGTAATTTTAAGGATTACAACCACGGAAAAGAAACAATCGCGCTTTTCCCACAAAACATTTACCGCATTTGAAAGTCCTGCTATCGTTACATCGCTAAAGATAATTATTTGAAAACGAACTTACCTCTCATTCTTTCCCTTTGTCCCATCCTATTAGGATTGCTAAAATAAATCACTTGCTACCATTTAGTTCTGTCAATAAAATTCTCTCGTTAAATTATTACATTCTATTTTACAATGGCAAGTCATATTATTGCAATAAGCAGGGCTCCAATGTTCATAATAAGTATTGAGCACGACAAAAGCTTTTCTATAACATGTGGGTGATTCCCACGTGAATAAATTACAAGCTATTGATATGCCTTCTAATTTATTTGTTGACGTAACAAGTTGAATAAAGGTGGTCAGGTGGGAGAAAAATGATAACTCTCCTAGCTATGGTGCATTGAATTGCGGTTTTGGGTGAGATAATATTTTGTTCATACTAGATAAAATTTACCACAACACGACATGCTCTGTCTGCCGTCATAACCTTACAATCATTGATTTCGCAAACTCTTCATTGAGGAAACAAAAGAAATATTCTTTTGTTTTCTCCAAACCTCTGGGGAAAAGGCTTTGCTTTCTTTTACTAACCAATGTCGTTAGTTAACTTATAACCAGGCTTAATTCCTTTTGTCTTTGCCCTGCATATATTTTCATGCAATCAATGAATTTAATCCCTTTTTATCATGGTTTGAACAAAATTGACGAATGAATTAATAATTAATTCATGTGATATATGAAAGTTATCAGAAGAAAAGTAGGGTCTTTCACTTCGATAACCCTATTTGACCGAGCTGTTCGTCTGGGAAAGGTGAAAGTCTGTTGAAAGTCGAAGACAGCCTTCAAGAAATGCGACTACTTGTTGGAAAGGACGAGCAACTGAAGACATGACACGGTTGAGATATTTTAGCCATGTTTGAAAGCGGCAGGTTAAATACAGAAAAATCGTCGATGACATAAAGATGTAAGTTTGAGATCGATGAATTAAAATGTATAACCCAATTGTGATGTGAATTCTCGTTACAGCATATTCAAAGCATCGTTATGAGTCCTATTTGTTCGAAGGAATGATCGATTTCTTTGGTTTCTTAGTATTTCTATGTTTCGATCTTGGAGCAAAAATGCCGTCAAGTTTCAGTTACATATTGAAGTGAGAACACGAACGAAACTGCCAAAAGTTTCCCACTATTCTTGACATCAATTATTGGACCTCTTCAATACATGTCCAGAAAATATTTTCATTTTTGCATTCATCGTTATCATTCACATAAGTGTGATGATTTTGCATTTTGCCTATTTCTAACAACTGGCCATTGTTAGAAATAGCAAGTTCAATCCTTTTGTCTTTGTGACAAAAGGATATAATATTTTATGTCTCCCGAGCAGGGCCGGATTAAGATGTGGAGGCTCTGAGCAGCAAAAATACGTATCCCTTTCCCTTACTCTAAACGCAATGTGCTGCTCATTTTTCAACAGTAAAATTTACTTTCAAATTTCGTAAAGCATTTGATAAAAGTATGAACTTCGAATATAGCGTGTAAAGCGGTTGCATACGACGAGTGATTGCTGCTACTTGAGATAAAGTAGTTATTGCGATTTTATTCTGGCAGTCTTTGATAAGCTCTTCCAAGTTTATTTCTGTTAGAATATTGTCCTCAATGCTCATCAGAGCAAAATGGCTGAGTTTACTGTGATTCGTTGTCATACGTGGTCTGTTCTTCATCAGCTGAAATTGATCCAACAAATAAACTAAATGCTTTTCCTTCGTCTTTAAAGCAACTATGTTTATTCTTCCTTTGAATAATGTGTGAAGGCCCTTGTTTGTGGAGGCTTCTAGACAGCTTCCTTTGGTTAATCCGTCCCTGCTCCTGAGAGGAACTACTGTAGCATCAAGTGATGTTATAGTAGGTGAGATAAAAGTGGGTAATTCACTTGAGAAACGTTCAAATGAATTACCTCAAATATATATTATAGAGTATACAAGATATTGCAACATGGGGGCAAAATGTTGCTGAATCTTCAAATGCGATGATGTTTTATAAACCTTCGTACCTTACCGTAATAATTAAACAACAACCTTTTCAATGAAATCGAGCAGAGAATATATTGCATGAGACATTCGTTAATTATCTTGTTTTTATCTAGGTATTTTTGAATTATATCGCATGTAATAAATCGTTTGACAATGTTACAGAACACTGCATGTGTTATAACATTGAAGGGTGTTACAGCACAATGCACGGTTCAAACGATAAGCTTTCCGCGAGTCTTATAATCTTCAAAGAGTTGTTCACTTAACATACATGTTCAGTCATGTACAGTGTCGAGCGTACGGACAGTGAAAGAACGCGAACTCTGGCAGTGGTATGTGCTAAACAATTGTTTTTTCCATTAAACAAATAACTCCTTCTTCAGTCTTTTTTTAGGTACAAGACATGAAGATGAGGAAGAAGATAGAGGAGTACGTTATTATTTTTCCTGTCCTTATCTTAACTTGTTTTTAGATTTTTCGTTTAGATGAGGAGGAGGCTGATGAAAAGTAGAGGAGGATGCTGACGGAGAGACAAGAAGGATGCAGATGAAGAGACGAGGATGCAGATGAAGAGAAAAGGAGGATGCACATGAAGAGACGAGGATGCAGATAAAGAGAAAAGGAGGATGCAGATGAAGGGACGAGGAGGATGAAAATGAATGGACAAGGAGGATTAAGAACGGACAAGGAGGATCAAGAAGGATATAGAGAAGTATGTTACTTTTTTCCTGTCATAATCATAACTTGATTTTTACGTACTTCGTTTAGATGAGGATGCTAATGCAGAAACGAGGAGGATGCAGATGAAGAGAGGAAGATGCCGATGAAGGGAGGAGAAGGATGCAGATGAAGAGAGGAGGATACCGATGAAGAGAGGAGCAGATGGAGAGAGGGATGGATGATGCAGATGGAGAGGATGCAGATGGAGAGAGGATGGATGGAGAGGATGCAGATGGAGAGGATGCAGATGGAGAGAGGATTGAGAGGACAATGGATGAAGAGATGGATGAGAAGGATAGGATAGTGGAATTGGATGGAATGGTAACATGAATTGAGGTGGAATAATCAAACGAAGTCTTTATAAACCTTAGTGCCTTACCGTAATAATCAAACAACCTTTTGGATGAAATCGACAAGATTTGAGTAGAGAATATATTGCATGAGACATTCGTTAATTATCTTGTTTTTATCTAGGTTTTTGAATTATATCGCATGTAATAAATCGTTTGACAATGTTACAGAACACTGCATGTGTTGTAACATTGAGGTGCACAGCACAATGCAAGGTTCAAACGATAAGCTTTCCGCGAGTGTTATAATCTTCAAAGAGTTGTTCACTTAACATACATGTTCAATCATGTACAGTCATGGATATCAATGTTTTAGCATGATAAAACTATTACAATGCGAAAGCACGATCTCCATAATCACTTGCCATGATATTGTTGTTGCATTTTTATAGACATGTCGAGCGTACGGACAGTGAAAGAACGCGAACTCTGGCAGTGGTGGGTGCTTACAATTGTTTGTTTCCATCAAACAAATAACTTCTTCTTCAGTCTTTTTTTAGGTACAAGAGATGAAGATCAAGAAGAAGATAGAGAGGAGTACGTTATTTTTTCCTGTCCTAATCTTAACTTGTTTTTAGATTTTTCGTTTAGATGAGGAGGAGGCTGATGAAAAGAAGAGGATGCTGACGGAGAGACGGAGAGACGAGGAGGATGCTGATGGTGCTACGAAGAGGATGCTGATGGTCCTGCGAGGAGATGCTGATGGTCCCTGAGGAGGATGCTGATGGTCCCTGAGGAGGATGCTGATGGCGCTACGAGGATGCTGATGGCGCTACGAGGAGGATGCTGATGGCGCTACGAGGAGGATGCTGATGGAGCTACGAGGAGGATGCTGATGGTGCTACGAGGAGGATGCTGATGGAGCTACGAAGAGGATGCTGATGCTGATGGATGCTGATGGAGCGACGAAGAGGATGCTGATGGAGCGACGAAGAGGATGCTGATGGTCCTGCGAGGAGGATGCTGATGGTCCTACGAGGAGGATGCTGATGGCGCTCCGAGGAGGATGCTGATGGCGTTACGAGGTGGATGCGTATGAAGCAACGAAGAGGATGCTGATGGAGCGACGAAGAGGATGCTGATGGAGCGACGAAGAGGATGCTGATGGAGCGACGAAGAGGATGCTGACGGAGAGACGGGAAGCATGCTGATGGAAACAAGATGAAAAACAAGATGAGGTATAAAATTTTTTATTTGTTTCACTGACTTGTAGCTTAGTGACTTCAGTCTTTTTCAGGTTTATGTGTTTGTTTTATTGTGTCGCTAATTTGTTCTTTGGCTATCTTTTAGATTTTAAGAAATCTTGGATTTTGAGAGAGCATATATACTCTGTTGAAATCGGCGTATTTTACTAAGTCAGAGAGTTCCCTCGCTCTCTGACTTAGAAAACGAATTTTGTGGTAAAGTATTTCAAAGTAGGCTCCTGCCACCTATTTTGGAATAATGTTGTACAAATTTCTATTAAGTAATGATTTTAGAATAATAATGTTGTTTGAAAAGCATTTATGCCGTGATGAATAAATAACATCCATCGGTAGTTTTGAAACGACTGTCAGCTTAAAATATGCATATGTATTTAAATTAAACATGGTCACCATGCCAGCAAGTGTCAGCGTTTGATAAATGTTTTCGAAATACGCTTTTCAATGCAATATGGAAATTTGTCATCATAACGTGCACAAAATCGCTGTTTCGTAATAATATATACGCAATTTTAACAAATATTTAATGATGTTTGGGGCTGTTTTCATTCAACCGTAGCTATAGTGTGTTTTCTTTTGACGTCATATAAGCCATGTTGGGAGAGTACATGAGAGTGTCGAAGCTCAGCAAAGCATAAAATTAGCAGAAATTCTTTTCACTGTATGGAATTTTGCCCCAACATGGTAACTGATGAAAACAATTTAGAGGAAGAAATCATTAAGGTGTAAAATGATTTTTCATCAGCTGGCAATCCATTTGGGACTTTTCACAGTATTTTTAATTCACGAAAATTTACATAAAACGTACAAAATGACATACCTCGCAACAAGTATAAAACATGTGAAAATTGATCATCAAATTTACTGGCATTTCCCCAGTATAGTAGCGGCATCTTCTTTCATGTTTAGAGATTATTTTACACCTCAATGTTTTCTACTCTCATGTCCTTAGACCCAAAAAAAAATTTACATCTGTAATGTAATGTATGATAAACTTAAGAATAAATTTAAGAGAAAGGAACTTCTCAAACGACTTCAAGTAATATGTAAGTTTTAGCAAGTAAAAATGTTCGTACAATAAATGATAAAAAACAATCTCCAAACATTGTTTAAGATTTTTAGACATTAAGCTGGCTTGAAGACCACTGTTTTTGCAAAATTCGGCAATTTCGCCTCCGTACCTTCAATGGCGGCGCTCATGCAGGCTTCAAAGATGGCGTCCAAGTTAGCCTTCCAGTTGTTGTAGAGTTCACTGGGTTTAAATAAGGTCGAGATAGATAGTTCACTATACCACGACGAAAAATTGCATGTAATTTACAAACTCTTGGCGTCACGTTCATTTGCTATAATAAAATTTACAATAAATATTTTTTTATTATTGATTGAACTATGGACGAATAAGAAAATTCATATCTAGAAATGACATGAATGAAAGGCAAAAGTAAATAAAAATGTGACTATTTTGACCAATGACATTAGGATGTTGATAGTGGTTACAATGGATGATAGTGGATAATTATAGACATGCTTTCAAAATGGCGTATGCTGAACAATTTTATTTTCAGTCAACTTGGAGCACACTTAATCATTTTATGGCAAGAATAGGTAAATGTTGGCTGAACTGTATAAAATAAGGCGTTCAAGGATGCAATTCGGAAGCGTAAAAAAAGACTTGAGGCATATGCAAGAGAACTATCTTCACGTAGCAGACTGACATTTGTGGTGAATTCACTGAATTGCTCTGGAAGCTAACAGTTATTGGTTGTTATTCTGGCTATGTGAAACCAATCTATCTGCATGAGTTCTATCATGATTTTAAACAGCAAATCGATGCGTTGCGTATGAGTTGTATCGACCAGCTTACTACACAGTCAACACTTCACCAATTTGGAATTTGAAACATTTTGGTGATAAGAATTTTATACCGACGTATCCCTGCGATAAAAAGACTCACAAGAAAAACTGTTTTGTTCAAAGTAAGGTAAAAATATTTTACTCTCTGATTGCCTAAATATTCTTTGAGTATTTAAAACTGGCTCATATAAGACCATACATGTATGTAGTTAATGGGATCTACATTTTAGCTAGCGTGTGCAATATTTTTATAAGTAAAACGATGCACGGTAGTGAGGTAACTTAGTGATTAAATGTACTTGAAAGCCGAGGGAGATTTTGTAGTAAAAGTCACAAGACTTGTAGCACCGAGGGACTTTAGCTAACCTGCCAGGATATTCAAGTGAATTTGATTGCCAAAATGTTTTAGTCAGTGCTTCACACACTGTTTATAAATTTGGATCTGCAGCTATTATTACCTAAGTGAAGATCTATTGATTGTCATGCTTTATTTTATCTCCATGTTTTTTTTATATTTTCACCATCATAAGTTGAACATTTGAGTTACCTTGCATGAGTCGTTTTTACTTAAAATATGTTCTTTAACAATTTTGGTTCATCATTGTTTTTGTTTTCTTGTAATTGATTTTATTTAGTATTTGTTAATATTGCAACTAAAATATTAACTCGTTTCAGTCTCCGCTTGCTGAAATCAAGATGGCTTCTAACCTTGAACATTTCAAACATTACAACTCAATGGTTGAAACCATTGAACTATTTAATCAAGTTACATTTGTTTCATCGTGCAATTCCTCTTTATGGATATCAAAGATATAGACAGTTATTCAAGAATGAAATAAAATATAGAATGTTTTCATTTGTTGATTTGACATACAGATTGGTTTGTTTACCTCCCAAAAAAGGGAGGAAATTTGTTCACAGCGAACATAAATGCAGTCTTTACAATGTTTTTTAGCTGTCTTGTCATAAATATCGAAAATGTTTAATGATTGATAATATTTTTAATTGTTTAACTAAATGAGTTTGTTTTATGCTTCATTAGAAACTGATGGAAGCTTTGAATAATTTTGGTCAAAAACGGCAGATAAATCCTGGGGATGGGGGATGAAGCTTTCTATGTTTACAGATGTATACCATTGTGAATTTATAATTTCATTGCTATCACAATTTATAGATTAATATAAAAATTTTGATGCTATGAGATGGTCTCATCAATGTGCAACAATTGAACTGGATTTCCAACTTCCTGAGAGATTCAACCTCACGCTAGGTAAGTTTTGCCAGTAAGCTTTTCGTTGAATAACCTCACTACGGTCTTGATACTTAATTTATTTAACCAACAGTGACATGATTATTTGTTTCTATAGAAACCTATTGTTATATATTTATATGCTTATATATACTATATACTTATATGCAGCCTGCTACATTGCTGAACACTGAAAGTCCCACCTGCATTCAAACTCAAAACAAACCCACCCGCATATAAGTATATAGTTACATTTAATATTGCAATGTTAACAGATAATTGCAATATAATAGTTAATAGTCCATGCATGTATCCCTGTGCATCCATCCCCATGTAAATATCATTGATAATGGCTCACAAACATATGTAAGCCTGTGTATTATAGTCAGAGGATTACGGCACAGTTTAAGTTTCCATGAAATTGTAGATCTTTACAAATTGTAACAATTTAGTAATTTATCAATATTCTATTACTCTATTGACAGTGGTGAAGGAGATATAAAATTACATCCTGTTATTATTCATCGAGCTATTGTAGGTTCAGTTGAAAAATGATTGCTATTCTTGCTGAAAGCTTTGGTGGAAAATGGTGAGTGTTTTCTTGGCTCATGCCAGAGCTTAAAGCAAATGAAATGTCCTTAAAATGTTAAATTAAAATGATACAAAGTTTCTTAATTGTTTGGAAATTTTTTATCATTTTTACTCTACTTTACTTTATTTCAAAATTTTGACGCACTGCATTTTCTGTTATTTTCTAGGATTTTATGGCTTTCTCCCCATCAAGTTGTAGTAATTCCTGTCAGTAGTAAATATGATGATTATGCCGAACCGGTAAATTTAATTTGGTAAGCCTTAGATCGAACTTGCACAGGCTAATGCAAACTCAGCTATGGACAAATTGTTGCTATTTTATGAATTGGAATTTTTGTCCTTTTTTTATTGACATTTTGGTCATGTTTAGATTCAAAAGAAGTTCCATGCAGCTGGTTATCGTGTTGATACAGACTTGGATCACGGATCAACACTAAATAAGAAAGTTCGCAATGCACAACTTTCACAGTACAACTTCATTCTTGGTATGAATAAGTCTTTTAAATTATTTTTATTTACTGTACAAATAAATAGAAATTAAAATGGTTTGGAACCACTGTTGGTGTTCAGAGTTTACTGACGTTTCCACAACATTAGTCAGGTTCGCCGTATTTGTTCTCTAGACGTCATGACAGAGAGGAAAATATGTGGATGTTTTAGTTTGTGTGGTATACTTATTAATTGTTCGCTTGTAAGCCGTTTATAAGGTGCTGATATTTGTATTCTGTTCAATGATTTTTGTTTTGAGTTTGTTAACCTACTTTCTAACGTAAGTCGTTGTCTATAGTCAGTGCTGTTTGTAATGTTGTGCATTGTGATGCTCACTTGTCAGTACTCGTTGTTCTTGGTAGTCAGTTGATGTGCGAGTTGTAAAATGTAAGGTATTATCGTTTGCTGTTGTTGGATTGTTTGTTGTTTGTGTTTGTTTGTTTTGTGTTCATTGTCTTTTAAGTGTTGTCTATTTTAAAAGCAAAATAGATGTTCATTTTATTACTAAATGCGATTGGTTAAATGGTTTTATGTTGTTTTTAAACAGTTGTTGGTGAAAAGAGACGGTCTCAGACACGGTCAACGTCAGAACACGTGACAACAAAGTACTCGGTGAAAAATCGGTCATGGCCGTGATCGAACGCTTGCGAGATTTAGTCAGCTCACGAAGTCTGACAAGCGAAGATTTTGAAGTAAAACAACATTTTATGGTAAAGATAAAATGAATTTACTCACAAAAATAAATTTGAATGTAAATCCCATGATGCGTCGCAATTATAGAAAAATAGGTACGCGTACATGCCACTGGTCACTGGCAAACTGGCGGCATTGGTCACTAATACTTTATCAGTGGTGGTAATATTGATTTTATCGTGGTGGTAAATTCTTCCATTGGTAATTTATGGCGATAACCATCAGCAACTTTTCAACTTTTACCATCAAGTTTTCACTCAAACGAGATCGCTTCTCTTTCATATTTTGGCTTGTTTCTTGAGCTAGTAGGAGGCTGTGTGCGTTGATACAAGAAAAACTTTGTTGTGCAGAGGAAGGTAAAGATATTTTACTCGCAGAATTACTATATATTTATCAACAAAGTAGTTCATACTACAGCGATGAAAAATATAAAGCGTCGTATTTAACGCAAACCTTGGTTAAACCAGGGTTAGTTGACACATGTGCACTTGTATAATATGTCCAAATGGACATGTTTTGTGGAATTCCCTTCATTTGGTAAAATATTATCGCAGTGGGCCAAGATCGTCCCTCGTTTCGACAGTCATTTGCTATTCGTACTGGAGCTCTAGAATTTTACTGTTTTTAGTCGTAAATGTGACAAATTCTTCATTCGTTTTCTTGTTATTGTGTAATAATTAACATAGCAAAACAAAGAGTAGCTATATAAATGTAATTTTCCTGCCACACTTACAAACATTTCATATTCCAGCTGCAAGACCAGTAACAGACTGTGACAAATGTTTGTTTGGTGAAAAATATTAACATATCTTGTCGAGTCTCCATTTGTGAATATCCATTTGAGAAATGGTTGCAAGAATATGGACTACAAGATTACAAGAATAAAATGCGGATTGGAAACGAAAGATTAGAATACACATTGAACTCCAAAAACAATAGGAAGTAGGCTTTATAATGTGACTACAATTGACTACAGTTCATACATTGGTTCAATGGTTAGGGTATGGATTAGGTCAGGGTTAGATTATGATTAGTTTAAGTGTTAAGGTTAGGGTTAGAATTGTTTAAAAGTTTCTTATAAACGTAGAATTAGTCAAACTTATCAACACTTTGTTATGCCCCTCGTAATATCCGTGACAATGTTAAAGATGTTTTCATTTCTCTTCATAACTTTGTGTCTGCATATTTTCTACATAAACAAACTGCTTTAATATTTATGACAGATATTATAATTCGTAGATCGAGGTAGAAGAACTGCTTGAAAATGAAACTTCCAACATTGAAACAAAATCAAGCATGGCAGAAGAGAAACAACGACGCCAGGTTGAAGATAGCTTGATGAAATTGAACGTAGTTGAAGCACCTAGCATACGCTCGAGA